TTTAAAATGTGTTTTTTCTTAGCTCCTTAGGCAAGCTCTAGCCTCCTCTTGTTTTGTAAGTCTAGGCCATAAAAACATGCTGAGTCTATTGAAGGAAGTCAGAGAAAATGTTTATATAAATTGGATCAAAGAAGGTTCTCAGCTCTGAATCACAACAAAAAAACCCTTCTATAACCTGAATGCTGGGATAAGGTAATAATATATGGTGCTGGTTCTGGGGGTTTAAATCTTTGATGCTTCTAGAAAATCATGCAAACGAGTCTCAAACTGCTCTTTCAAATGTAAGTGAAAGGGGGAACCCAACTGGATATTCATACAGAAGAAATACCCACTACTGTCAAGAGGAACTGCCTCAGTGCACAAGCAGAGAGCTGTTAGAGGTAGTCAGACTGCAGAGGCACAAACCTTGTCTCTCATCTGGGTCAAAAATGCATGAAATGAATTATCAGGCTAAAATGCAAATATTTAACAGCTAATTTAAAAATAACTCTTTAATTTTGCTTGATTTTTGAGATAAGGTCTTGCTAAGTTGCCAAGGTGGGCCCCAAACTTTTGACTCTCTTACTTCATTTACCCAGGATTACAATGAGGCCTATCTTTTGGATGAGCAGAGACCCATTTAAGAATCTGATGAAAGCTCTGGAAACACATGTGATGAAGGTTATGGCAAAAACCCATCACTCAGAAACAGGTATACATGTGCAAACTCTTGTTTACAATTTCAGTAGTATCACTGGGATAACATAAAAGAAACTTGAGGGAAATCTATAAATCCCTTTGCTGAATTTGGGGAAAATTTAAATATGAAATTAACAATATGTATATACTACTCATTGATTCATTTGTTCCTTCGTAACTTACTGAGTTCCATTTCATAGCAGGTACTATGCTGGAAGTTGGGGATCCAGTGATGTACAAGGACGCAGTTTTGTGCAGCTAATGGGAAAATAAACTCATGATAACGAGTTAAGTGCTATGCTAGACTATAAACACAGAAACTAACATGACCCCTGAGGGCAATTAATTTACCATGTATTTAATAAAAGCATCATGTGCCAGAAATTAGGTATAAATTATCACACAGACTATGTCCCTGGCTTACAGTTTACAATCTGGAATATTCCAAAGACAAAGCTGGGCGAGGGGACTGGAAGGACGTGACACCCAATGTGAATCCTGACTGACAGATAAAAGTGGTGAGAAATATTAGGTAGTGAGAGCAGCATGTGCATGCATTCAATGACAAGAGCAAGGTGAGCATGGGGAAAACTACATGTAGTTCATCAGGGCTACACATGAGAATGATGAGAGAAAAAGGTGCAGAGATATGTTGCAGTCAGGTCCCAAAGGTTGTCACTGGGGGTTTCTAAAATAGAGTGAAGAGATCAAAGTTTTATATCTGAAAGATCACACTTTTTGTGGAGAAAAAGGACTGAGCAAATGGATCGGGGTGGTGAGGGGGTGAAATCACAAAGGAGGGAAGCTGCTGAATCAGGATGAGAAATGGTGAAGTCCTAACAGTGGCAGTAAAGATGGAATAAAGTGGACAGATTTTAGAAACAGGATGAGGCCACTAATATTCATATTCATTTCTCTCATTTCTCCGAATGACTTTCACCTAAGGCAGTCCTCTCTGCTCCAAGCAGTGAAGGAGGTAGTGATGGGTTCAAGCTAATAAAATAATCTTGCTATTGAGGAAGTGTCTCCTAAAACTATGACTGTAGAATTATTTTGGTTAAGTAATCAGATATGGAAACTCTACATTTAATTGCTTACTGACTATAATCATGAGGATGTTAATAGCTACAAAACAATTTTATCGAGCATTTATTCTGTCAGTTACTCATCTAAGTATTCTGCATGTGCTAAGCCACTTAGTCTTTTTTTTTTTTTTGGTGCCGGGGATTGAACTAGGGACCTTGTGCTTGCAAGGCAGGCGCCAGAACCACTGAGCCAAATCCCCAGCCCCTAAGCCACTTAGACTTTAAGGAACCCTATGATGTTGGCTCTAGTCTTATTCCTATTGAACAGATGAGGATACTGAGATACTGCAGAGAATAATTTTAGTATATGTGCTGCCAAAGTGAGCACAATTATTATTTTTTTTTGTTGTTACCAGGGATCGAACTTGGGACCTTGCGCTTGTGAGGCAGGCGCCAGAACCACTGAGCTAAATCCCGGGCCCTACTGCAGAGAATAAATACCTCATTTAAGGTCAGAAAGCTGGTAAACAGAAAAAGAGACTTTGGCCTTGGATGTCTTGCTGTAAGACCCCTGTTCCCAATGAGTCTATTTGTCCACACTGACAAACAGAAACATAATCTTTCACCATAGAATTCATAATGATCATGGAATATGATCATTAAAAATTACTTTTTCCAATTTGTTCTGAACATTCTGAATGAGCACAATAAAGAAGTTTCCAGGGCCAGGGATTTAGCTCAGTGGTTCTGGTGTGCCTGCCTTGCAAGCGCAAGGACCCGAGTTCAATCCCTGGTACCAAAAAAAAAAGTTTCCACATCACTCATGTCTCCAGAAACATCACATGGAAGTACATGAAGCAAAATCTGGGTGTGCTTTTGCAGATTTGGGCTCCAAATAGAAAAGCAAAACAAACAATGGTGTTTTTAAATAGTGAATGTTGTTTTCCTTTAGCCATAAGGGAATTTTAAAACTTGAAAAACCCATTCAGCTTTCAAAGCATTCCACATTCCCCACCCACAAATGCCAGAAGGTGCCAAGTGGAGCCAATTCTTGAGTTCAGGAATAATTTTCTAAATACTAGATCAGATTTCCTGAACGTCCACACTCTAGAAGGATATTTACCATTCTTCTAATTATTCTTATGAAAAGTACTTTGCAATTTATCAACCAATTAATTAAAAATACTTCAGCAATAGATGATATTGAGGCACAAATGCAAAAGCAGAAAATGACAGGTTATTACTGCTTCAAGTAGATTGAAAATCACTGCCGAAAGTCTTTGAAATATTAGAGGTATGTTGTGCAAAGGCTCAATTTCAATGGACTTTCTGGGGGGAAACGTCTCTGATTACATAATGACAGTAATTTCCTCAATTTGCAGGAAATTATTTTTTTGCAGAGGAAAATAATATAATGCTTATTATACTCATTATATTCATTCAACTAATGTATACTGGAAGCAAACCCAATTCCCAGCACCCCAAAACTAACCAATGATGGATATCTGAGAGAGCCTGAAAAACTTGGAAATGAGCACTTGTTAAAAGTTAGAAATTTTTGTGCTCGCTTCGGCAGCACATATACTAAAAGTTAGAAATTTTTGCTAAGCAGTGACATATAAATATGGATAAACACAGATCTTGTCATCTAGCCCAGCTAGGGAGATGGACAAGTGAAGGTATAATGCAATAAAAGTGACCAAAGAAATATACAGGGTCTGCCCAAAAAAGTATATACAGACTTCAGGAAAGGAAAAACTTTATATGTATATTTTAATACTAAATTTATTGAGACACCATGAGATTAATACAAGTTACCCAAAACAAAAACAAAATACTGTCATTTGCAGCAAAATGGGTGAAACTGACTGGAACTGGAAGATATTTGGTTAACTGAAAAAAGCCAGACACAGAAAAACAAGTACTGAATGTTCTGTCTCATGTGGAAGCAGGAAAAAAAAAAAAAAAATCAACCTGCACGTAGAACAGTAATTAACAGAAGATAGGAAGGATGTGGGGCAGGAGGCAGATAAAAGGAGGTTGGATTTGATCAGTGCATGTCAGTATGCATGTTTGGAAATATCACAATGAACTTCACTAATTCATTCAATTAATTCATGTTAATAAAAAATTTAAAAAATATTATTTTATTATAGTAAAAATTTAAAGAACCTTGGAGAAGTTCAAAGAACATAGCAGAGAATCACATATGTGGACTATAGATTGCAAATAGACCCAATACTTGCTTGTTTTCTGTCCCTTCAATTTAACAACACCAAATACTAATGGAAACTGGACTAGGTGCTATGTAGGACTGAAAGTATTGTAACTGTTGGGGATAAAATCCAACTTAATCAGCTATGTGAACATGGCCTTCAAATTATACCTCTTTAAGCTTCAGTTTCCTCATATGTAAGATAAAAACCAGCCTAGTAATATTATTGTGATGATAGGCGGAGAAAGTCCAATGTTCACTGTTGTGTTAATTAAGGGTTGTTAACTGTTTTTGTTAATGTAAGCTAAATCCCATAGATCCTAAGAGAAATACTGTTTTGTGCAATTCTACTCAAAACCAAAACAGTATTACATAAAAGTGACATTTACTATGTTTAATGTGTAGTATTACAGAAATCACCAAAGAACTATACAATTTCATTTGTACTTTATAGTATTACATGAATTTTTCTTTGAGAATCCCAATGCAATACATCAGCTGCACTTTAACATGTTCATGATAGGGCCATACATACATAATTGTTTCATTGGACAGAGGCTGCCCAATGTGACAGTCCTGCATGTACCACCACCAGTGGTTCAAGCCATAAGGAACGTGTTAAAGAAGTCTTTCAAATCAACTATCATGTTTATGAATGAAGTATTTTTCTTGAAATGCAAATGTCAAACCTACTTCTTGCTTTCTAGTTTAAAACATTTAGATTTCTTGGACTTTTACTTTGGATACCTGTACTAGATATCTGGAATGAGTAATTTCAGTTTAGGTTATAATACTATTATAACAGGAATTTTAAGAAAGAATTTATCTAAGTAGTATTTTACATTGGAAATAATACATAATTTGAAAAATCATAATGCAATCCTAGAAGTTAACTAGAAAGCTTTAAAAAAAACAACTCATAAGAGCCCATAAAAAAAAAATCATATAAAGGTTTGAAATATATTTTCTTTTTTTTAATTGAAAAAAAAGTTCAGATCCAACATAACTGTCAGCTGAACAGGAAGCTAATCAGTATTCTAATATCATAGTAGTGCTTTGTCTGAACAAATAATCAAAGAGGCAAACTTTCAAAGATATTTTATTTAAAATTCTCCATCTAGAAGATATATAACAATGTTTACACATGCTTTAATAACTTATTTTACTGTACAATTTATATTCTATATAGTAATATAATAAACCAGCAAAAGAAAATAGCGCTTAAATAAGAATCTGTTATGTAAAAAGCATTTAAGAATGGGATTTTAAACAGTAGTACATTATATACGAATTTTTTGTGACTGAGATATACGTAGTATGATACTGTTATTGTGTTCAGTGTATACCTAAAAATTAAGATGTCTAGATCTTTCTGATCCATGAAATGAAAACTATTATGTGTCTTTCAGAATAAAACATGTTTTTCCTATTAAACTTGGTATGTGAGGGCAGAAGGGCTCTATTGCTTTTATCCCTTTTTATAAATGTTTTCCCTTTCACATTACTTTCACACTTTTAAATAAAAATTTGTATACACTCCTACAACCATCACTGTTCTAAGCACAGAATCACCTAATCAGGTATTTTATAGCCCCCCCCTCAAAAGGCTAAAACACATTAAAGAAACCAAAGAAAAAGACCAGTTAATTCTGCTAATACAGCACCTAGGAAAATAGTACTTCAGTAAAATTTGTCCTGCTGTTCTTATGTGATGCAGGCAACATGGCAATCACTTCAAAAATATGGGCGGGGCTGGGGATTTAGCTCAGTGGTTCTGGTACCTGCCTCACAAGGGCAAGGTCCAGAGTTTGATCCCCAGTACCAAAAAAATATATATATGGGCAGAACATAAGGAAGAAGAAAAGGAATTTTTCTGTTCTCAAAAAAAGATCTTATTATTGTATTCTCTAATGAATTTTATAATCTTGGAGTTACAGTAACCGTCAAACTAGGTACATAGTATATTCTGCAAGAGGGAAACAAGATGGAAATGACTAACCAGTGAAATCTGAATTTCTTCTGTGTAATTATATTTTCCAAGGAAAAAAAGGCACAGGAGGCACACATTTCAGTTTGGCTCAAAAAAATGAAAATTATTGAGAGTTGGCAAACAACTAAAATTATGAGAGTTGGCAACAACTAAAACAAAATCCAATATCCTATATTCTTAGACAGATACTGTCCAGCTATAGGATATTGATAACAACAACAATAAACAAAAAACACACTGTGGTTCACCATAATCACTGGCTACACATAACTGCCTGACACTTATACACAGACTGAATCCTACTAAGTCGGACTTAATAATTAATTTTAATAAAAAATCTGCTTCATCAATATTTTCTTCCTAAAACTTAAATTATGTTCAAGATATTTCAGTTCTTTGTGTGGAACTGAAAACTTTAAGTGCACTAATTTTCAGTTGATTGTAAAAGTATTACAGTAATCTTATATACCAAGAAACAACAAAAGATGGAAAGTCAACCACTAGTATTATACCTGTAAAAGCTAACTCAGATTTCACCTTGATACATGTAAACGATGAATCATGAATTTCAAAAATCAGTAGTTGTGGTCAAGTTTGTATGCTATTATTGTATCTATAAAAGATAGCAATAATATTATTAATTGTAAACATAAGTGTCGAAGAGTACATACCCTAAAGAGACATTCAATGTAACGATGCACCATCCCCTTACAGATCTCTGTGACAACTGTAGTGAAACTAACTTTAACTGCAATTGCAGAGTAGGACTCTGAGGTGTGACCAGGAAAAGTGATGTTTCCCACATCACTGAGCTACTGTTACAGCAAACATGATTGTGAGGAAATATACTTAACAAGTCACACATTAAAAAGTCATCAGAACATCTCTTTCTTGTACACTAGTATAGAAAGGTCTTCCAAAGATAAAGGAGTGCAGACCTGGTTTAATTTTCTCAGCCAGAGCCATTATTATGTTAAGATCGCCCTCTGCTGTTAAATCAAGGTCTATCTTCAGGTTGCGAAGAGATTTAAAGGGCTTTTTCCCCTTCTGCCTACAAATAATAAAGAAAAAGTAATAATAAACATTTAAAACAAAAAACCCACAAAGTACAAAGGTTTTCTTCCTTATAAGGAATTTACTCACGTATCATCTTCTATATATTTGATTAGTGTCAAGGCTTTTCTGTGAAGGATAAGTAGAAATTGTGCAAGGAAAGTACTTCTGAGAGATAAACCAGGTTTCAAATGAAAGACCTGCAGGAAAGTGAACCATTTCAATAGTTTTCTTCCATTCTGCTTACACAGCAGTTCCCATGACAGTAGGGACAGTGTCCTGTGGACATGAGAGCCATTCCACTCATGCAGCACTGGGTACAGAAGCATGCTGACAGTTTTTTAAGTTTTCTATTTTATCTTTAAAAATGTACTCAAATTTTGCATTCTACATCAAAATACATCCATGTTTATTTTATTATGAAAAATAATTATGTAAGTTATTTCATACTGAGTTACCTAACTTTTTCCACCCAAATATTCAAGTAACACCAACATTTCCAGAAGCTGGGCTGTACTTTGTCTATGATTTTTAAACACTTGTGTATCTGTATTCTTAAGGAGAACATGTGCTGATGTAGGAGTGATGGTGGCAGGCACTTTATTTCAGGTTGAGAAACATGGAGTTGATACGGAAAAGTTTTAGATAACTTAATAGATTGAATATTAAGATAGTTGTAGAAAAAAAGTAAGTAATGTGTTTTTTTAAGATTTGCTTTTCCTGTAACTCCTTGTTTAAGGTGAGGATTATCTGACTCTAACCCATAACTTCATTAATTTAACAAAGTTGCCATGCCAGGGTGAATTTACAATGTATATGACCTATCTTGTGTCTGTGACTTGTAAATAGGAACTGGAATTGTATTTACATATCAAAGACCACTAGGGATGAGATAATGGCTAAAAAGGATATAAAAAGGGAAATGCTGAACAAATCGGGCGTGGATACTGACCAGACTAGTTTCTGGCATTCTCGCCCACTCCCGAGAAGAAATTTTATTATTTTATCCAAAATCTGTGTCTCTGTGTATTTCTTTCCAAGATTTCTGCAACAGAGTTACATGACTACCGGCTATCCTTGAACTTTGCAATGTCACAGATCACACAGATATGGATCCAAAATTTTTAATTCATGTAAGGATCTTGTTATTCCAAAGCAGCATCTATGACAAAGTTTCCTGGGCTGGTCTTCAGAATGATTTATGACAAAGCTGCTACATTAAGAAATAAGTCCCCCCCCCCCAAAAAGAAATAAGTCCCATATAATCTATCATTTTCTTCATCTGTGTCATTGAGTAGATATTTTTAAAAAAAGTAACAATGCTATCACTTAAATAGATGTACACTAAGTCTTAAAAACATTTTTTTTGCTTAAGTAAGGGAAATAATATGCCCTTTCCCCTTAAAGCAAAACAAAAACCCCTTGAGTTACAGGGTAGTGCTCTATTTGAAAATAAAATATTTACTTGAAATGGGAAATGCTGAATTTTTAATTGTTAATGTAAAGGCTATTGCCCAGAATAATTTTTTTTTTTTGAGACAAGGTCTTGCTAGTTAAGGATGGCATTAAACTCACCATGTAGTCCAAGCTGCCCTCTAACTCATCACAGTGATCCTTCTGCCTCAGCCTCCTGAGTGCTGGGATGCCAGGCATTGGCCACCACACCCAGATGCCCAAAAATAATTTTAAAAAAATCATTTAGAGCTTTAAAAGGCCATAGGCACTAAAAAAAGATAAGGACTTAATTCTATGTGATATGTATATATGTATGTAGATGTAATGGTATAGGATATAATATATGGTATAGGCACTGTAGAATTTCCTTTTTTTGGTAGTACTGAGGATGAACCCAGGTACCTGTACATGCTATGTAAATGTTCTCTACTATCAAGCTATGGTACTAGCCCTTTTATTTTTATTTTGAGACAATCCCAAGTAGCTGGGATTATAGACATGCACCACCATATCCAGCTTTCGTAGGGTGTATTTTAAAAGAAAACATGGCATATCATTCACTCTGACAATGTCTGTTTTACAATTACCTGATCCAGGAAGGCTTTTATTAGAGTGTCTCTGTGTAAGACATCTTGGAAAATATTCCTATGAAGAAAAGAAAAAAAGCCCAAATGTTGAAATGATTATACAGTGCTGCTTTCTACAAACCCTTTATCTAGTCAATAAGTTCAATTCTTTTTATTTTTTAATTTTTTAAAAAAATAAGTTCAAGTCTTATCAATGGGATATTATATATATAAATGTTCCTGCAAAAAATATAAATATATACATTTGGAGACAGAAAATAGATATTTGGGCCGGCCTTATAGCTCAGTGGTAGACTGTGTACTTAGTATCCACAAGGCTCTGGATGTAATCCCCAGCAGACATAGATACGCAGATACATGTTATATATACACAGATATATGAATATGTTCACTTTGACTAAAAGATATATTTGTATATTACACGTGTTTGTCAGACTAAAATTTAATTGTTTTCTTTAAAAAGTATAAGCAGTCCCCAGGAAGGGTATGTCTATATCAATCTTGGCACTCTCATAAAAATAATGTTGAGCATCCTAAGACAACTAATAATATAATCACCAATTCTCGCCATCTCAAAAAAACCCACAATAATAAACAATACTATACTATTACCAACTTTAAATGAACCAAGGACAAATGTTAAGAACATTTGAATGGGATTAAGGAATAAATCCAGATGATAATGGGCAACATACATGTGCAAGTAACATGGACTGATAACCCACAAAGGTGTTACCTACCTTGGCAATGAACACAGTGAGAAGATACAATGCCCATTTGAAATAATTTGTGTCTAACACAGCACCTAGGATACAGTAGGTGCTAAACAAACAAAATATTGTTCCTTTCTCAAGACCCACCCTTCTTTTATCATTTCTCTTTCATCTTCTGTAGGTTATAGTCAGGTCAGAAGGGTAATATAACATTCATTAAGGTAAGTGATTTTTATTTTATTTTTTTAAGGTAAGTGATTTGTAAATTAAAGGACTAAAAACAGTAGAGATCATCATGTAATTCATAGGACTGACAGAGAAAGAAGATGGGTGTGTGCAGAAGTAGGAAAGTACCTCAAATTTCATAGTCTTAGGAGATGAGTACACTGAATTACAGAAGAAAATTGAAAAGAGGAAAAAAAATCAGCATTTTATAATACTGGCTAGGCAGTGACAGAACCACTTCCTAGGCTCTGAAGAGCAGCTGGAGCTATTAAGTCCAGTGTTCTGACTCTATTTCACTGAATGAATATCCCAATCATAAGAGAACTAGATGAAGGAAAATGTTAAAAATGAGTATTTCAAGTGACTGAATTTTAATGTACTGTTGGTGACTGAAATTATTTTTAAAAAGTTAAAATTAAAAATAACTTAAGGGGTAGGGGTGTAGCCCAGTGGTAGAGTGTTTTTGTTGTGTTCTGTGTCTGGCACTGGATATGCAGCACTGCAAAAACAAATACCATCCCCTCAACATAAAACTTTAAAAGTGAATAATATTGTTTAGGATACATAAAACAGTCAAATAAGACCATGATAAAAGTTAATATATAATCTTGTGGTTGAAAATATTTTAAACAATTTTATGTTCAAAACATTTGTTAGAGGGGCTGGGGATTTGGCTCTGTGGTTCCGCTGCCTGCCTTGCAAGCCCAAGGTCCCAAGTTTGATCCCTGGTACCAAAAAAAAAAAAAAAAAATTGCTTAGAGCTGGAAACAAAAGTTTAAAATTCATGACATGTTGTGATCAGAAAAACAAGATTAATCATAGTTTTCCAAATTAGCAAAACAAACATATCTATGAAACAAAACAAAACTAACAAATGGTTAAAAGTACATTCTAAATTTCACTAAATTCTCTCAAAAGGGGAAAAAAAAAGAGGCTAGGTATTTCAGAAAAGATTGATATGGAAAAGTTTTAGATAACTTAATAGATTGAATATTAAGGTAGTTGTAGAAGCAAAATAAGTAATGTGTTCTTTTAAGATTTGCTTTTCCTGTAACTCCTTGTTTAAGGTGAAGATCATCTGACTCTAACCAGTAACTTCATTAACCTAACAAAGTTACCATGCCAGGGTGAATTTACTATCTTGTGTCTGTGACTTGTAAATAGGAATTGGAATTGTATTTACATATCAAAGACCACTAGGGATGAGATAATGGCTAAAAAGGATATAAAAAGGGAAATGCTGAACAAAGTGGGTGGATATTTGCCAGACTGGTTTCTGGTGTTCCTGTCCTCCTGCGAGAGAAGAATTCCCTAACATTTGGTGCATTGGCCGGGAATCGGAAATGAAATAGCCCTTTTGGGCATCAGCCCGAACCCCACCAGAGGGAGCGGCTCTCTGTCTCCTTCAGAGGAAAGGCGCGCCCCTGGGACTAATTTCCTAGGCTCCCCAACAGGACACAATGATCTGCTCACCACTGGAGGTTTGCCCAAACCCGAGAAGGAGACTACAGAAGGAGGACTGCTGCTCTTGGTGTCTCGTCTGTCTCTCTCCTTTGCTGGGTGAGAAAGCCCGGGAAACCCCCCTAGTCGTTAACTTTCGGTTTCGCCTTGTGAATTTGTATTCTGTAACTTTGGGCAAATACAGCACAGGGGCCTGATCACCCCTTGTGCTTTGCCATTTGGAAAGATAGATCCTCCTATTTGTTTTGGTTCACTTTGTGAACTTTGGGCAAACATAGTGCAGGGGCCTGATCAACCCTTGTGCTTTGCCATTTGGGTAGGTAGCTTCTTTCATTTATTTTGGTTAAGGTTAGGGGGTCACCGGGAGGGAATGTGATAACTTCTGAATAAATGTGTGAGTGAAAGAGTTCTGGATAGGAGAGTGTGTGGAACAAGCTGCGGAACAAGACAGAGGGAGTAAGCGCTTGTACTTAAGGAGTCCTCCCCGAGTTGTAGAATTTGTGTGTGGTCGCGTTTAACAGGCACAATGGTGAGCTTAGGCGACAGCCCACCTTAGCCTGAATGGACCTTAAAATGGCCAAGAAGCCTGCAGCCAGGCAGGCGAGTGAGTGATCCCCCACCTTTGTTTTGCATCTCCGTACAAGGGTACACACCAACACTCTGATCTGCCGATCATGGGGACAGAAATATCTCGTCCTACTCTTTTGGAATGCATGCTTAGGAATTTTAAGAAAGGTTTTACTGGAAATTATGGTATTAAGATGAAACCCCAAAACTTGGAGCCTTTTGTGAGTTAGAATGGCCCAAGCTTTGCCTAGCTTGGCCAACCAGGAGATCCCTAGGCGAGGGTCTCGTCTGGTCCATCTGGCTAACAGTCACTGCCCCTGGATGGGAACATCCAGATCAATTTCCCTATATTGATTTATGGCTCAAATTGTGCCACAGAATGCCTCCTTAGCTTCATATGTGTGCCCCGGAAGCGAAAAGCAACATCCTGGTCATCTGTCAGAAAGGGGATGATGCTGAAAAGTAACTGGTTCTTTCAGATCCGGACCGGGAAAATTTAGACTTTCCCCCTCTTTTTGAGTTGCTAAATTCACAGGTTTGGAGGAAGTGGGGACAAAAGCATGAAAACTGCTTGGCTTCAGAGCATCATGCTGTGGTCAGACTCGGAGAGGAATGAATAGGGCTTACACTCAAATTTTAAAAATTAGTAAGAAAAAATAAGTAATGGATTAAAAACAGCTAAAAAAAAAAGCTCTGAAGGACATAAAGCCAGAGACAGTAAGAAATTTTACAACGTTACAAATTTTAGTTAATTGATAAATGTATCTGTGTTTCAGTTTGAGTTGATGTTTAATTGGTGTGCTTAAAGTATTGTACATTGCAAATTCTTCAATTGTAATTATAAGGTTAACTTGCTCTTTTCTGCACTTTATTGATAAAAAAACCCCTCAAGGTTACTATCATTCAATTGGCAGCCAACCAAATTTAAAGTGTAACAATCTGAGAATGAAAAAAGGGACACTTTAAAGTTTTAACAGCTAAAGACTAGTTTGTGATAAAAGGTCTATAGTGAGATAAAATATATATATTTAAAAGCTATAAGTAAAAGAGATACAATTTTGATATAAAAAATTTTGTATGTTTGTCTTGTCAAAAAGATAAAGACCAGAAGGTCTAGGTATGTCAAAAGATGCGCGAAAGTGATTTATCAAAAAAAAAAAATGTATGTTTGTTGGTTTCAACTATGTTATAAAATGTTTAAATATATTTACATTAGTTGTTATCAAAGGGTTAAATTCTAAATATGTTACTATAATATGTGTACATTGGTCATCTTCAAAGGGTTTAAGAGCCAACAGGTTACAATATGACCTGCTTTATAGTGAGTCAGAAAAAAATTGTTGGAAAAAGGCACAAATATGTCAGACCAAGGTGCAATATTTGAGATTTGACTTTAAAAAGGGTAAAAAAAGAAGCTCGGTCCAGAGAAAGAAGTCATTTATTCTCTGCCAAGACCCTCCAAAATGCTTCAATTATTTGATTCCATCTTTGCTATCCATTGTCCTAATTGGGAAGACTGTGAAAAACTTTGTAGAATTTTGTTAACCTCTAAAAAATACAGTGAGCTTTGGAAAAATTAAAAACTTAATGCTACTAGAATACCGGGTGCTATGCAGAATCCACACACTTGGCATGAACAGCAATTCCCAGCAAATGTGCAGCCCAATTGGGATCCCAGTACCCAAACAGGACAGGGAAACTTGAGAAATTATCAGACAGCTCTTTTAGCAGGAATGCAGGCTGCAAGTAAAAGGCCTACAAATATGATTAAAGTGCTAGAAACACAGCAGGAGCCCAATGAGAGCCCTGAGAGATTTTATGAGTAGCTCTGTAAAGTTTACAGAATGTATACACCTTTTGATCCTACTGTTCCTGAAAACCGTCAGCTAATTAAAACAACTTTTATAACCCAGTCAGCACCAGACATTAGAAGGAAAATCCAAAGCTAGGAGACTTGGGAAGGCATGAATATAAGGCAATTGTTGCAATTAGCTGGGAAAGTGTATGTGAATAGAGAGACAGTGAAAGAGAGAGAGAGCCAGGAAGGAAGATAGCAGTAGCTATGGGAGCCAGGGAAGAGAAGGAAAAAGAAAGACAAGGCTCAAGGAAAAGAAAAAGCAGGACTTAAAGGAATGGAAGGATACTGGCACCTTGTTGCCTGTGGTGGAGTACAGTGACTGACACAGACTGGGCTCAATGCAGCTAGGCCCCCATGAGCCCATGGTCAATATATAGATAGGGGGCCAAAATATGTCCTTAATGGTGGAGAGTGGCGCAGAACATTCAGTAGTAACAGCTCCAGGTCCCCCTCTGAGCGGAGAGCACACCCAAGTGATTAGTGCCACTGGAATTTCAGAAAAGTGCCAGTTTTGCTATGAAAGGACATGTGAAATTGGAGGACATAAAGTGAAACATGAATTCTTGTATATGCCAGAATGTCCAAGCCCCTTACTAGGAAGAGATTTATTATCTAAATTGGGAGCTACAATAACTTTCACCCAATGAGGAACTGCATCTCTGCATTTAGACCCAGGAAGAGATCTCATCATGATGGTAACAACTAAAAGAGAGGGTGAATGGCAGTGTTACAATGTGGATGATGTTTTCCAGGCTCTGCAAGAATTAAGAACTATGTTTCCTAGAGTATTGGCAGAAGAATCACCCCCAGGCTTAGCTAAAAATCATCCACCCACAGTTATAAAATTAAAAGACAATTCGGCCCCATTGGTGTAAAACAATACCCAATGTCCAGGCAAGCTCGAATTGGAATTAAACCCCATATCATGAGATTAAAGGAATTTGGACTTATTAGAGAACATATGTCACCATGGAACACCCCTTTGCCGCCTGTTCGGAAACCCAATGGGGACTATAGGCCAGTGCAAGATCTACGGGCTGTAAATGGCAGAACAGTAAAGCTGCACCCAGTGGTCTCTAACCCCTATGCTTTGTTGGGTCTGGTACCTCCAGAAACAGCATAGTTCACTTGTTTGGATTTAAAAGATGCCTTCTTTTGCCCTCTCATCACTCCCCTCAGTCAACCCATCTTTGCATTTGAATGGGAAGACCCGAGTGATGGGAAAAATACTCAGTTTACTTGGACTAGATTACCACAGGGACTTAAAACTCACCCACGCTTTTTGGGGAAGCCCTAGCCAAGGACTTGCTTGCCTTCCCCACAGAACAATATAGCTGTGTCCTACTGCAGTATGTGGCTGACTGTTATGCAGCTCAACCCAAAAACGGTGCTGGGAAGGCACCAAAAAAACTTGTTGCTGCACTTACAGGAAAACTGGATATAAGGTATCATGGGAAAAAGCCCAGATTTGTCTACAGCATGTTAAATATTTCAAATTTCAAATAACACAGGGCATGTGTTGCCTAGGAAATAAAAAAACCCAGGTTATTGGTGCCATCTCTAAACCCCAAACAAAGAAACAGCTGAGAAGGTTTCTTGGGGCAGCAGGCTTCGGTAGAATTTGGATTCCGGGTTTTACAGAAATCTCTAAACTCCTTTATGAAGCCCTAAAGGGACAAGGTGAGAATCACCTGCATTGGACTGTAGAACAGGAGGAAGCTTTTAAAAAATTTAAAATTGACTTAGGCAGCCCCCCCAGCCCTAAGCATACCAGATGTAAAGCGGCCTTTTACTCTATATGTGACTGAAAAAAACCCAAGTGGCCCTTGGAATCTTGACCCAAGAAGTAGGCCCATGGACTCAACCAGTGGCATATTTGTCTAAGAATTTAGATTCAGTATCAAAAGGATAGCCTCATTGTTTTTGGGCCTTAGCAACTTCAGCTCTGTTGATCAAAAAAAACCAGACAAGCTCTGACTTTAGGTCAGGAACTGACTGCAGGTTCCACACCTGGTCCTAGAACTGCTAAACACAAGGGAGCATCATTGGCTCTCAAATAATTGGGTTACTCAGTATCAAGCCCTTCTCTGTGAGAATCCCCGCATGTGGTTTATTTCTATAAAAACTTTAAATCCTGCTACCTTCTTGCCCATGGAGACAGGCCTTCCTGATCATGACTGCTTGAGTGTCACTGATGAGCTCTTTTCCAGCCGCCCTGATTTGCAAATGACACCCTTGTCCGATGCTGACCTTGTTCTGTTCACGGATGGGAGCAGCTTCATGGAAGATGGGGTTCATCATGCTGGATATGTGGTAACCATGAAGGATGAGGTGGTCTTAGCCAGGGCCCTCAGTGCAATATGCTAAGCTCTGGGCACTCATACAGGCACTCCGATGGGGAAAGGGTAAAAAAGGTATATATCTATATGGACTTTTGCTATGCATTTGCTACATTATACATCATTGGCATGATTTACAGAGAGTGAGGTCTTCTCATGTCAGAAGGGAAGCTAATTAAAAATAAACAGGAAATTATACGGTTGCTAGAGGCAGTGTGGAAACCTAGCAAAGTCACAGTAATATATTGTTCAGGACATCAGAAAGGCAGACCTAGTTGCACAAGGTAACAAAACTGAAGCTGAAAGCTGAGAAAGACAACACACTCAAAGCCCTGCTCTCACCACTCTGGAGGCTGGTGAGTCAACGCACGGCTGAAGAATACCGACAAGGACAACATGGATTATTGTGTTGTGCCAGATCACCACTGCCTTAAGTTTCTTTGTTTTTGAACTACAGGTGTTTAGGCCTAGTTATGAAAAGTTTGATGAACAATATGTGACTTTTAAAACGGTAAAATGGGAACCGGAAGGCTATCTGTTTACAATATTTGATAAAAACATTATGGGGGACCTGAGATAACTTCTGACTGTGGGGGCTATTCTAATGAAAAATTATATTGCAAAGAGAAAACACAAGTTTGGATCAACGGCTCCCTTGTTGGATGGGCCACTGGTAATTGTAACAATTGTAAACAAGGTCAGTGTAATCCTATATCTATGTATATGCTAGCCCCATGGGATCTTATTTGGCTACAAGGAGTAATATATTTCATTAGGACAAGAAGTTTAAAAAGATCTTGAGGAAATTCGAAACACACTTCAGGCTTTAGAAGCTCAACTAGACTGACTGGCCAATGTCATTACAAAAATAGGCATGCTCTCAGATTTACTCAGAAAGGAGGGACTTGCTTATTTCTTGGTGAAGAGAGTTGTTAATATACTAATAAATCTGGTGTAGTACAAGAATCACTAGGCAAACTAAAAGATCAGATCAAGGCTCTTGATGAGAAATTTGGTATAGGAGAGCTGTCCTGTAAGATTAATTTTACTTGGGCAGAATGAAAAAAACTTGGATAGGAACTCTTCTGAGTCCCTTTCTTGTTATAATATTAATATTAATGTTTGGTCCTTGTGTCATCCAGTGGATTTCAAAATTTATATGGTAGCGCAGTGCTGTAGCTCAAGACTACCAAATGCTAGTGTTAAAAAATGTAGATAAACTGGACAGAACTTGTAATGGATAGAATTATCCCGAAGTAAACAGAGGGAGGAATGATAAGGAAAAGTTTTAGACAACTTAACAGATTGAATATTAAGGTAGTTGTAGAAGCAAAATAAGTAATGTGTTCTTTTAAGATTTGCTTTTCCTGTAACTCCTTGTTTAAGGTGAAGATTATCTGACTCTAACCAGTAACTTCACTAACCTAACAAAGTTACCATGCCAGGGTGAATTTACAATGTATATGGCCTGTCTTGTGTCTGTGACTTGTAAATAGGAACTGGAATTGTATTTACATATCAAAGACCACTAGGGATGAGATAATGGCTAAAAAGGATATAAAAAGGGAAATGCTGAACAAAGGGGGAGGATATTGACCAGACTGGTTTCTGGTGTTCCTGTCCGCTCGTGAGAAGAAATTTTATTATTTTATCCGAATTCTGTGTCTCTGTGTATTTCTTTCCGAGATTTCCATAACAAGATGAAACTGTTTGTCTATGCATGTTCCAATATTACCAATATGTGAAAACTCAGTGACATGTAATTCCAATTTGACGAATTCATTTTCTGAAGTAATTCCTCTAAAACTTTCTAAGCAATCAATAAGAATAGTGGGGAACAAGGAAAGATAGGCCTTAATTAAATCATCTTTTCTGCATCTACATACATATGCTGTTGGGTCCCTTGCACATAATGTTCTGATGTTGTACTTTTGGTCAACATTTTACTGTGGCTATTGGTGCTTTACATGTCTGTTGCCTCAAATTAAATTTTTTTCTTAAAAACACAAGAAAGAGTTGCTTGGTCCAAGTCAACTGCTGGATTACTATAGTTAACATTTTTTGAGTACATTCTATGTGCCAGCACTAGGTTCAAGAACTTTAAATTGATTCCAGAGAAACCTAACAGTATATTACAATTCTTTTTCTGACTTCAGAACATAATATCCAGTGCCAGACACAGGCACACTAGAAGCACTCTACCACTGGGCTATACCTTAACTCCTTAAGTTATTTTAAATTTTAACCCTTTAAAAATAATTTCAGTCACCAACAATACATTTTGTATTCATACACAAGAAGAAAAAACAAAATTACTTTAGTTTAGTTAATAAGTCTGTTCACTCTAGACTTTAAGCTATGTAGAGTCTAGGGCTATCTGACTGACTACGATTAACCCCAGCACTTAGTATAGTGCCTAGAAGCTCAATATATTTTTAAAAACTAGGGGCCGGGGATTTATCTCAGTGGCACTGCACCTGCCTTGCAAACACAAGGTCCTGAGTTCGATCCCCAGTACCCCCCAAAAAACCCACTAATATTTATCATTTCTTTTTTTTTTTGGTACCGGGGATCAAACTCGGGTCCTTGCGCTTGCGCAGCAGGCGGCGAAACCACTGAGCTAAATCCCCGGCCCCCCACTAATATTTAAAGGCTAGTTTTACCCTAATTTTGGAAAAACACAATTATATTTAAAACACAAACATTTAAGAAAAAAATGGTTAAATTTTTCAAGTACTATTATACCAGTAATATTTATTTTCTTTTAGATGTAATTTGTTTTGTTTTTACTCATCAAAGATACAGTCTCATATTGTGTGACAATGATATGAACAGGTAGAAAATTACATACAAATCAGGAGTGAAGCTTTCGTCTGTACAGATGATTGTGTCCTGAGCCATGTCTTCTTCGGAAGTGGCTCTCCAGAATGCTGTCAGCTCTGATCTCATGTATCTCCGCTGATTATAAATATGTTCATGACAGGGTGGCATCTGTTTCACAGTATTGACATCCACATCTATGTGTGTGGTGGGATAAGGAGCATACATGACTTGTCGGAAAGGTAATACAAAGCTTCCAGTTGAATCCTGTCAAAATGAAAGGAAAACATGCTGTTTTATATACCATGATATGAAGAATTTTTTAAAATTAAAAAAACTGGCTTTGATTTTATTCTAAGAAATTTACCATAATTGTGTGTCAAGTCTTAGCAATAAGCAATGTTCACCACAGCACTGTAAAACAGCAAAACATCAGAAATACCCTAAGCACCCAAAAAGGGAAGTGGTTACATAAATAAATACAGGTTTATTATTTAGCTACTGAAAGTTGCTCAAGCTTGTGTTGATACTGTGAGAAATTTACAGTATATTGTGAAAAGATAAGGACAGAACATACAGTATATAATCCAGTTGGAGGGGTGGTTGAAGAAAAGACATACAGAATTAAAAAAAAGCTATACAAATGTTAGTAGTGATAATTCACTGAATTGTGAAATTGAAATTAACTTTTTTCTTGATTATTCTATGTTCTTTTAAAATCTGAACAACTGTATATTTTTGCAAGTAAACATTTACTTCTTCCTAAGCATAGTCAACTAGGTAGCCAGTTACCATGTAACAAATATCTATTGTGTATGAAGTACTGTGCTACCAACAGAAGGTCATTTATATTTTTTCACTTTTTATAATGCTGTTATAAGCATTTCTGTATAGAAATGTTCACCCATAGCAACGTCCTTGGGACATTTCTCCTGTTTTTATTCTAACAGTTTTATAGGGTCTTACATTTAAGTATATGATCTGTTTTAAATTGATTTCATATATGGTAAGAGACAGTGGTTTAGTTTCATTCCTCTGCATATGGATACTTGGATACTCAGTTTTCCCAGTACCATTCACTGGAGAGAGATTATCTTTTTTTTTTTTTTTTTGGTACCAGGGATCAAACTCAGGTCCTTGTGCTTGTGCAGCAGGCAGCAAAACCACTGAGCTAAACCCTGGCCCAGAGAGAGATTATCTTAAATCACTTTCTTCAACACACTCCACTTAAAGGAGGAGAGGTTTATTTTGGCTTATGTTTCAGTCCAGGGTGACTGGCTACAAAGTAGAAAAGAGCATGGCAGAAGAGCATGGTAGGAAGCATCCAGGAAGCAGAGCCAAGGGAAGAGCTGGGGATGGAGATAAACCCTTTCAGGCTATGCTGCCAGTAACCGGCCTCTTCTAACCATACCCTAACATGCTGTCTCCTAATAACAAGTCAGTTATAATGCCATAAATCCCATTATCTTCATCACTTCCAAAGGTCTCACCTATGACTACATGAAGTGTTAGGGGGACATCTAGATATAAACCATAACCACAACACTGTTCTTTCTTGGTGCCCTTATCAAAACTCAGTTGGATTTCTAGGTTCTATGTTTCATTGCTCTGTGTCTGTTTTTTATGCTAGTATCATGATGTTTTGCTATAACTATGTAGTATGTTTTGAAGTCAGGTGTTATTATCCTGCCAGCTTTGTTCTTTTTGCTGAGGATTGCTTTGGCTATTCAGTCTTTTATAGCACCATACAAACTTTAGGGGTATTATCTTCTATTTCTGCAAATAACATCATTATTATTTTGAGAGAAATTAAATTGAATCTGTAGATTGCTTTGGGTAATGTGACATTTTAATTCTTCCAATTCATAAACTTTGGATGTCTTTCCATTTATTGCTTATCTTCAATTTTTTTTTTATTAGAGCTTTGTAATTTTCATCGTAAAGATCACTCACTTTCTTCATTAAATTTATTCCTAGGGCTTTTTTGTTTGTTTTATAGCTATTACTACAAGTACTCTTGATTTCTTTCTTGGCAATTTTTCTATTGTACATAAAAAATGCTACTCATTTTGTATGTTGATTTTTGTATCCTCTAACCTTACTGAATCTGCCAGTTCTAAAAGTTTTTGGTGAAGTCTTTTAGGTTTTTTTCTGTTTTATTATATGCAAAATCTCCAAACAGTGATAATCTGACTTCCTCCTTTGTTATTTGAATGCCTTTTACTTCTTTGTCTTTCCTTTTTGCTGGCTAAGACTTCCAATACTAGATTGGTTGAGAATGGTGAAAGGAGACATCTTTATCTTGTTCTTGATCTTAGTTGACTGCAGCTTTTCCCTGTTCAGTATGACATTTGTTGTGGGTCTGTCACATGTACCAAATACCTAATTATTTTGGGGCCTTTGCAATAATTTTTTTAAGACCTCTAATTCATTTTACTACACCTACATTCTAAACAAAGCTTTTATTATGAGAGAGTCATAAATCATTAGGAAAGGTATTTCTTCATGTCTTGGCGATAATTGAGACACCAAAAATAGATCTAATACAGTTAGAAGTGTTTTCCTTTTAGTTACTGAAATTATTGCTAATTTGCATTTATCTGTTTTGGTCTTTGAAAAGTAATGTGCCTTAAATAAATATTAAAAATGTTCTAATGCATATTAGAAATGCACATTTTTCATGTGTATGTATATATTTAGATATGAATTGCTCAAATCCTATATATATTTAAAGATATTTTACATTTTTAAAATAAATGAATATACTATATAAACACAAAATAGTAAGCAAAATCTTCACATCTCCACAGTAAAGCGAAATGTTCTCATTTTAGTGGTTCAAGCATGAATTCAGAAGAAACAAAAATCCTAAGGCTAAACATTAGCCATGGAACCATCTGGAAAAGGATATTCCGTGCCATTTCACCGATGATATTAATTATAAATCCAAAACACATACTCTATGCTCAGAACTATGTAAAAGAAGGCAGGCTCTGGGTGTATAAATGAGATGCATTAAACACTATGAAATATTTTTACAAAGAGTCTCAAAAATTACTTTTAAAAATTGGTTTCACTTGTGAGAAATGGAAAGTGTACCTTTAGCAGGCCTTGCACAAAGAGCCCTGACTCATATTTAAATGATGATTCTGCTTCACATAATCTGGAGCATTTTCTCTCTGCTGGAGTTAGAAAAAGGCATAATGTTCTCACTATCTAAAAAGAAAAGATTTCAGCATTAAAATATAAAGTCAAAAGAACAATGGTTTGCTTACAAAAGAAATTTAAGTAGATATTTTTATTGTTAAAATAAAGATTTTAAGTAGATCTCTTATTGTTATTAATAAAATATATTTCAAGTAGTCACTGTTTCTTAGTCACTGAAACAGTTCATGGGATATAACACTGCTTAAAAAGTGGAATTTTGTAGCTAAATATTAACCGTATAGTGGCTTAAAACCTGTAACATTTGAGTATATATTGTAATTCTTCAGGTGAATAATACAATATGTAATGTAGCCTTTCTCAAACTTAATTGACTATGAAATCCTTATTTCAGTGGGAAATAATGACCAAATACAATGACTGATTGCATCTTTACCCAGCAACAACTGTTTTTAATGCAAGCAAACAACTTTAAAGAGAAAAATTGAATGCATTAAATTAGGCAGAATTACAGCTTCTGTTATAATAGTTCTACATGCGAATCTCACTGTAACAAAAATCAAGGAGTGTCCAAACTCTTCAACAAAAAGAGAACTTTATCAAATTTGATTTAAAATAAGCCATGTGTAGGCAAGGGGTTAGAAATCTCTGATTCTAACATTATTTGACCTACAGCTCTGTTAGGAAAAATAAAAAGCCATGTACCTATATTGGAATTCATGGCATATGTAGAGTTATTATATTAAAGCAGTGGTTTTTAAACTACAGCAGTAGCAACTATTTTTTCAAATTAAAAGATAAAAGACGAGCTATTCAATCCAAAGAGAATGAAAGGCAAAAACAATGTTTAATAAACACAGCCCCAACCATGGAGCACTGTTCCCTTCCTAAAGCAAAGTGAAAGTTCTGTGGAATCCTCTTGCTTTGGGGATTACAAATGGCAAGTCATAGTTTTGGAGTAACTATGATCACTAGTTCTTAGATGCAACATATTTAGAAAGGTATACTAATCACTCATAAATAGTTATATGAGAAATATAATTTTGGAAGATTAACGGTAATGTAGCTATTAAAGGGTAGCTTATTAAAGAAAAATAAATAAATAAATGATACCTTTGTAAAGCAAATAGTCACCCCCAACATATTTCCTGCGTGAAACTTTTTAAAAATTAAGTTTGCTTAAAGTAATACGGATATAAGCTCTTATCTCTGGATTCTTTCTAATTAATAGTGAAGAGAAGTGCAAAGTTCTTTGGTTTATTGCCTAATGCTTAAAAATGTAACTTATTAATTCCTTATTAACTCAAGCAGCACTGAAGAAAGTGGCCAAAACATTATTGAAGAAAACATCATCTCCACCGACCATTTAGTATCAACAGCACCCTAAAAGGGATAGATGTATGTGCACGCGCGCGCGTGTGTGTGTGTGTGTGTGTGTGTGTGTGTGTGGTCAAAATAACAAAAGTCAAATGAATGATCAAATGTCATTTTTTAGGATTAATGCCAAATTCACATGGCTATCTTTGTATTTATTAAAGATAAAACTGGGAAACAGAAGACAAACATTTAAAAGAATGTCTGATTTTAAAATATTCTCAAAATCATTTATACACAGCTGATACTGGTATTTATGAAATATCAAAGTGAAATTGATAACTGAAATCTTATTTATAGTTTATTTCAAACTCATTTTTGCCACAGGGTATCACAGTAATTTGGTAAGACTTTATTGCCACCTTATACTGAGGCCATTTCAAGAACTGCAACCTAGGTAAACGTTAATCAATGACATGTTAGGAGTATTAAAAAGCCAAAATGTCTTCTCAATTATAAAGTAAATTACCTTATTTACTTTCTCTGCACTGCTACCTACAACGACAGAACAGCCACAGGTTTGCAAGTGTGAGCTGATGGCACTGTAGGTTAACGAAAACAGATTAAAAACATCATTGTAAAAAATTTCACAAACTCGGAAAAAAAAAAAAAAGAGCTTCAAATAACTCCAAATAGCTTTACCTGGTGAACATCAATAGGCATAATGCTATTTTTTATTGGTATAAGAAAACTTTTATTTCCTAGGGGACTGTCACGGAACTTGTCTCTTTTAAGTCTTAAGATATCACTTTTTTTTTTGGTACCGAGGATCGAACTCTGGTCCTTGTGCTTGCGCAGCAGGTGGCGAAACCACTGGGCTAAATCCCCAGCCCTAGAATATCACTTTTATAGCTAAACAAACTGATGTGTAAAAAGGTTAAGTGATTTAAAGGCAAATGGTATTCAAAATAATGTATGAATGGTGACACTAGCAAGCTCAGGACTAAAGTACTTCTGAGTCAAGCCATTAAGACTTTTACCTCTGATATTTCATCATGAGGCTAAAGAAAAAGAATGTCAATAAAAAAGTGAAAACTGTGTTCCCTCACTTCTCATTTTTAAAAATTAAAATTCATAATAATGTGCAATTGTAAAGAAACACTAAAATAGAAGATGAGATAACAAATGTAGAGCCCATGGTATTAAGGACTAACACATCAGCACTCAACAAACAGTGACTATTAATATTTTCATTTTTTTAAGAAATATAATTAGAAAATGTCAGCTATTAAATACTAAGTGACTTTATGTCCAAGGCACTGTTCTAAGTGGTGTATATAATCTATCTCATTTAACATTCATTCAAGAACTGCAACCTATAAAGTAGGTACTATTATCATTTCCATTACACAAATGAGGAAGTGGAGCCACAGCACTTCAGGCAGTTTTCTTAACATTACCATAGCAGTAAACAAAGCAGTCTGATTTTAGAGATCACTCTAAACTCTACAGTTAGATGAAAAAGATCAGGTCAAATATTAACAAGTTCCATTCTTAGGCCTAAATAACTTGAGCCCTTCAACAATGCAACTTAATTTGAAAGGTTTTTTTAGTTTTAGCTTTAATGAAAGTAAAACAAGAAACTAGAACAAAGAAAGGACTAAGATTGCTTGTGTGAGCACTATGGAAACTCAGTTTCTTTAAAAGGTAAAAGGAGTAACAGTAGATTTATCAGACATGTGAGTGAAAAATAACATGTATGTAAACAATAGCTCAACTATATAATGCTGTCTCTAAAATAATCTGGGTAAGTAGGTAGTTTGTTGTTTTCATGCTTCCAAATCTTGTCATAAGGCGACCTTAAGATTTATATCTACTTCAGCCAGTATTTAGGAAAAGAAACAAAATTCTTACTTGAGGAGAAAGTCTTCATGACAACTGTCACCAATATCATCATCACTGAGTACTGTATCAGCTATCTAAAATACACCAAAAAAAAGTTAATCTGGCTATAACAGTGTTGAGAGAATACTTTTAATATTTAAGTTTAAGTCTTGATTCAATAAAACATTTTGCCCTCATTTCTGAGCATCAAGAATACCCATAAAACAATCTCTATGTCCTATTATAAGTTTGAAAAGAACAAACGCAAAACCTGGTAAGGCAGGCTAAGCAACAGCTTTTACAAGAACAACTTCCTCTTCTTGGCTGTCAGAATCAGGAGACCAAAGTCATTAAGTTTTGTTTGGTCATACAAAACTGAGCATTATTTGTTTCCGGCTAATACTTCATTTGAATAGTATGACAAAATGCAGACTAGTAAAATTAGAATACCACTAGTAAACAAAATAGTAGAATTCAAGGAAACTAGTAAAAGGATACAACTGCCCCCATAATGTCTTACATCTATTTCTTCAGGAACACTGTGTGATTTCATAGATGAAAGTAGTTCCATCACAGGAATGACTTCACCAGTAAGCATTGGAATAATACTCTGACCCTGCATAATAAAGTAAAATAAAGTGAAGAAGTTCACATAACATGGGATCAGCTGGGCAATAAAAAGTTAAAAATTAAAGCAAAGAATAATAACCTTTGATAGGAATGCTTGGTAATTTGTTGAAAATCTACTACTCCAAAATATTTCTCAAGTATATTTATGCTATTTAAACTCACTCTCCTTTTTTCAAGTATAATTTTCTTTAGTGAGCATGGAATTACTGCTTTATCATTTACCATTACATGCACAAATTAAATCACCATGTCAAATTTAGAAAAGATCTCCTTTTAAAGGTCATCAATATATTTCCTATTTAAAAATGAGGAAAGTCGTCAGGTATGGCTGTGGACAACTGTAACCCCAGCACTCTGCTGAGGAATGAGGATCACAAGTTTGAGACTTGCCTGGGCAATTTAATAAGGTCTCAAAATAAAAAGGGATGGGGATGTTGCTCAGAGCAAAGGCCCTGGGTTCAATCCCCATCACCACCACCAACCACCACCACCACCACCACCCACAATGACAATAAAGGAAAGTCAAGCATTAAAAAGTCTTTGAAAGCCTTACCATGTAACTTACTAGTAGTATAGATTCAACCAATACCCACCTGCCCCATTCAAATAGGGTACAATATCCAAAAGCAATGAAAATTATCACATATAGCTTAAGAATCATTGAAACAGAAGAGGTTCCTTTAGAGATCCTTTAAATTATTATGTCTCAAAAATATAATTTTGAAACATTTTCTGGAGTCATTATAACCCAAATATAAAATATTTCAAATATAGGTGAATATTTATTCACTAATCCCCACCAGTTTTATGACCAACCTAAATAAATAAAACATTTCGAGATGTAAATGAAATTGTCAAATGTTTATCAATTTTATCTAAACATTTTAAAATTATGCATGTAGTCAATTCAATGAGTTTTCTTTGCCTACTCAGAGTTCATGAAATAATTTTATTCAAACTCTTCATATGTATCTTCAAATTAGAACCTTTGTCATCCCTAGAGCCATTTTTTTTTTTTTTTTTTTTTTTCCGGGGATCAAACTCTGGTCCTTGTGCTTGCACAGCAGGTGGCGAAACCACTGAACTAAATCCCTGGCCCC